GTTGTTCTACTTTTTCCATGTGTGAACCCGTGCAGTGTAGTTTAAGAATATAGCTAATATACAGCTGTTCTTTGCAGTACCAGTAATATACAGACTTTGTTATTTTTTTTTCTTCTCATAGTTGTTTGAAGTTGTTTGAAAATATTTGCTCTTTTTCCTGACGCTGTTATGGCAGGAAAGTGTTCTTGCTAAGTCACGTTTGACTCACATGCCAGGCTTCATGTGACCAGAACCCCCATGATGTTGCTAACTTTCTGTATCAGTTCCCTTAATTTATTAATGTTTGATCTCCTGATGTGCAAAATCTTAAAAGATCTGATTGTGTTTATTATATTAATGTAACCTTGATTTAAATTGAATTGACTCATGGGCACTGAATACAGCTGTTCTGCAGTACCAGTAATATACAGACTTTGTTATTTTTTTTTCTTCTCATAGTTGTTTGAAGTTGTTTGAAAATATTTGCTCTTTTTCCTGACGCTGTTATGGCAGGAAAGTGTTCTTGCTAAGTCACGTTTGACTCACATGCCAGGCTTCATGTGACCAGAACCCCCATGATGTTGCTAACTTTCTGTATCAGTTCCCTTAATTTATTAATGTTTGATCTCCTGATGTGCAAAATCTTAAAAGATCTGATTGTGTTTATTATATTAATGTAACCTTGATTTAAATTGAATTGACTCATGGGCACTGAATACAGACTTATTTTTCATGAGCAGTTCTTCTGTAATATCTAGTTATTTGCAACCCATCCCCAAATTCAAATCAACATTGCCTTTTCAGTGGATCAGTTTTTGACCATTTTTTCTTCACATACACTGACTCTACTTGGTGGATCTGTAATGGGATTTATTTACATTTCCCCCAAAAGAGACGTCCGCAGCCTGCTGTTTGAGAAATTGAGTGCTGAAGGTGATAAAGTTTCCATGATCATAGAATAATTTAGCTTGGAAGGGACCTCTGGAGGTCATCTAGTCAATGCCCTGTTCAAAGTAGGTCCCAGAGCATGTTACTCAGGGACTTGTCCAGTTGTGTATTGGGCACTCCCAGGATGGGAATTCCCCAGCCTTTCTGGGTAATCTATTCCAGTATTTGAGTAGTAAATTTGTAATAAAAAAAAAAAATTCTTGTAGGTATTGGAATTTCTCATTTTCCAACTTGTGTCTGTTGCCTCTCTTGGTGTCCTATTAGTATGCACCTCCGAGAAGTCTGGCTCCATCTTCTCTGTATCCTCTGACAGTATTAAGATGTGCCCTGAGCCTTCTCCTCTCTAGTGTGAACAGGTCCTGCTCCCTCAGCCTCGCCTCTTACATGGTATACTCCAGCCCCCTGACCATCTTGGTGGCCCTTTGCTGAACTCAACTCCAATATGTCAATGTCTTTCTTGTCCAGAGGAATCAAAAACTGGTTACAGTACTCCAGATGCAGTCTCACAGGTGCCAAATGGGGGAAAGGATCAGTCCCCTGGGCCTGCTGACTACACTCATGTTAAAACAGCTCAGGATGCAAGTTGGCCTTCTTTGCTGCAAGGACACACTGCTTCATGTTCAACTGATTCATGTTCACCTTGCTGTCCACCAGGCCTCCCCGATCCATTTCTTCAAAGCTGCTGCTTATACAGTTGTCCCCCAGCCTGTACTGTTGAATGGAGTTATTCCATCCCAGATATAAGACTTTGCATTTGCTTCTGATAAACTTTTTGTTGAAATGTTGACCACACTTGTTTTTCAAATTTTCAGTGGGCACTTAATATATCACAATTTCGGCCATTGAGCATAATTGTTCCATGAAAAATTGTACTTTAGCCAGCTATCTGGGTTAGGATAACAGGTCATTCCATCCATTTGGGAGTGCTAGCCATAATAATAGGGTGGATAAGTATTATACCAAGATAACAGCAAGCTATCAGTCATATTTCTGTTTTCTTGTTAGCTTGATATAAGCTAATGAGTAGATTTGTGCTTAAGATACTGAAAAAAAAGAGCTCTGCAAATACTGTAAGCTGCATTTTCAGCTCTGCTAGAGCAGTGCTTGCACAAAGCTGAAACTGAGGACTAAGACCACCATTGTCGCCAAAGACTGTCTCTTTGAAAACCGTCCTGAGGTAGAGGGGTTTGTATCTTGTCACTGAGCACAGCTACATAAATATGCTGATGCCAACAGATTCCACATACCATTTTGGATATTGGGGGGTCTCCCCAGCAGTATCTCTGTAATATGATTCAGGCCACGGGTGTCATTAATGGAACAGAGAGGGAGTGCTTCCGTTGGTATTACTTTAACTTTCACTTCAGATGAATTAGAAAATTAACATAATATTAATATGAATGTTCTTGTTAGAGCCACTATAAAAGAAATTTTAGAGCAAACTTACATTTTCAGGTTTTCTTTTTAATTTTTCAACTACTTATTAATGCTAAACACCTTTTAAGAAAAAAGCCTGAAGATGGACAAAGCTTTCCATAGGAACAGCTTTACCTGACCGAAACAATAGTTGATGTTTACTGGTGTTAGTGAAGTTATATACCATCAGTGACAAGAAGGTATCAGGTCGAGTCTGATGGGTAAACTACTCATCGAAAGCTAAGAAGCTAAGGGTAGAATTTATGAGAATTGAAAGCTAAGTAATTGTAGAATGATGGCTAATTACTAGATGGATTATTATGAATAAGCAATACAGTACTAACACCAAAGGATTATATTAATGATATTGCAAAAGGGGGAAAGACTGGCTTATTAATTCTTAATAAGATATGGCAACTTAGTTAATCACAGTCTAACATCAAGTACAGTCAGATGGTAGTACGAGGTTTTTTTCATACCTATAAATGCATGCCAGAATCATCTATGCAGGTTTTGCTAAAGATATATTGGGCTAAGTCTCATGCCCCAGCGCAGAGTCCTGTTCACATAGGGTGCTGTGTATGGGCGAAGGGCTCCACCCATATTCATTCACCTGCAAAACTGATGCCTACAAAATTGATGGCTGTTGAGGTGGATATTATTTGTATAACTGCAGAACAGTTCAAACTAATTATTTTATTTGCTGACATATACTTATTTCATCATGTACTTCTAAGTACTTCTTGTATTTTATGCTTTGCCTTCCAAAAAATTAATGTTGTGGCTAATTTGAACCTAAGTGAATATTGGTCTTCAAAGACAAACATGTTTTTATAAAAACCGTTCTGGGAGACACCCAGAAACAGAAATTGATAGTGCAACTGAAGCTCTTCTAAGGGATTTCCCTTTTCCTGCTGTGGGATTGCTGATACTATAGATTGTTCAATTCAAAGTAACGGCAGGTCAAAAGAAGCTTTTATTCCCTGGTTCACTTCTATTCCAAAAAGTCTTTCAACATTGTCTTAAATCTAGGAATTATTTTTTTTTATTTCATTGAAATCAGTGGAAACTAAACATGTCATGTGCCTGAAAAAAGTGCTTTTAAGTATTTTCTTGGCATAGAATCAGAATAAAATTTTGCAGAAAGGTGAACAGCAATGTCAAAATCTGAGTGCCTTGAAGAGGTCAACCATAATCTTCAACAGGAGCTGTTCAAGAGAAGAATGCCTTCTGCTTACAACAGGGTTTCTTTTTTAAGGGCTACCAATACTGCCTGACTTGCTTTCACATTTGATTTTATTGTATGTATCAGAATTCCTGAACACTGAATTAAAAAATAAAGGCAAAATTCATAGGTATTAGAAGGCTGTAGGGAAAATAACAAATCCCAATATTTTCCTATTGCATACTAAGATACAGACAGGAAACAAAATACTGTTTATTAAGCATTGTTGTATTGTTTAGTAACAGAACAATGACACCCTGTAGGAGACAAACTGCAGCAAGTTCTAATGAAGAAAACTAAACAAAATGAGCTTAAATTGCAGATAGGCTGTTATCTTACCCTCCAGACTCATTTCAGTCTCTTCCTCAACACACAGTGTTCCAATTCAAGTCAATAATTCCCACTCTTGAGAATGGATGTTCAGTATGATACAGGGAGTTTGCAGAAATTCTACTGTTGACATTTGGGTGTGAAACACCCACTTGTTCCTAGTAGATGCGGTGTTTTTCCTTTCTTTTAATTACTTTTTTTTTCCTCATTTGCTCAAAGATGCTTTCCTTATTCGTGTTTTGGGTACAGTGTTTTCTTATGACTGAGAAAGATCGGACAAAAGGAGTCTCTTATTGAAACAAGTTGTCACACATAATGTTGGATTTTAAGCAAGTTGTTTTGCTTGCTGGTTAGGCCATCACTTTTCAATTACAAACATCTTAGTTTGGGCATGTGAGCACAGAGCTGGTTCAGCCCCCGAGCTGGAGTTTTGTATAAGCTAGATAATTCTAGCCTCTCTAAACAAACCTCTGAATTCTGAATTTGCTAGAGCTTCTGGATGGTTTTCCTACAAGAGTTTGTCACAGGAGTCTAGCTCTGGTAATGCAAATGATGATTGTTTCAGGTTAAAATGTCTGCAGTCTGTCATCTAGTCCTGAGAGACAGGAGCTGTTACTCTGAAGTCTGAGAGAAACAAATCTAATAGGAGCATAACACTATGAATCTTAGAGAAAGTGGGAGGGAGTAGAAATTTACTTAATGAGGATTAGTATGTATAGATATTCAGATTACTTACATGTAAGTGAAATGAACAGTTTTGGAGTGAAAAGCATCTCTTTTGAAAGGAAGCAGGAATCCTAAAAAACCTGGGAGACTTTTCTCCACCCCATCTCTGCCTGTTTCCCTGTGCAAGTGCATTGCAAACTCTGAGTGTCAGCTGATAGGGAGATGGTGGTTCTGGTAGTTGAATGTGTGGGGTTATGAGCAACAGAGCCACAGCTTTCCATGCCTAAGTCATAGCAGGGGTCAGTTCAGTAAAGGCTTCCGTGCTTCACCATTCAAAAGACGGCAGATTATATAAATATATTCTTTCCAGTTTTGCTAGGGCTTGTGTAAGCTAAATGAGTAAAAAACCACTTCGCACACCAAGAGGGGTGTCTCAATGAAGAATGGTAACATCATGATGATTAAACTTGATGAAACCTCTCAGCTGAGTGTAAGATCTGAGCTTACATGAGGTCTCTCACTATTATTCACACCTCTTTGGTTAAACCATGATGACATTTGTGGGTATTATTTTGTAAAATTGCTATTGCTCTAGATTCAGAAGCTCTATTACAAGCACAGTGTTTATAGAACCTGTCACTGATGTGGGCAGTTGTTTAAAGCCAAAATACATCCTCTCTTATTTTTCAAGACATGTCTTTCCTGGAAGTGTATCTTTGCATATTCTTGGCATCATGCTTATGCGCTTACCAATAATTAAAACATTTTCAGTTGTTTACATCTTGTAGTTGAATTGTTGCCCGTGTTGCCAGACAAGTAAAATATATTATAACTTTTTTCATTTATAGATAGCTGTCTCATCAGAAACATTTTGAAGAATGTTTGTCTTTTGAATGAAATTAAAGTACTTTTAGATTTTAATATGAAACTTAAAAATCCTAAAAACTAATCCAGTAGTTAGTTTCTTCAGTCAAATAATAACTAGAGAGACGACGTTAATCATGTATTTTTAATAAAGCGTAAGGAATTTATCCACTGAAAAACTTTGGCTAGGAAGACTAGAACATCAATACATGTCTTGTAATTCCTGTGCATCTCCAGTGATAGGCTATAGAGAATTAAGAGATTTCTATTCAGAACAAAATGCCTTTGTGACAACTATACAATAGCAGTAAATATAAATTCTGAAAGGGGTTTCCTCACATGAAAAAAGAAACAAAACAAAGATAAATTGTGCTATCTAATAATCTGGAAAAGTAGTAATAAAATAAATTATTAAGCCTTCCCATAGGTAAGAACAGGAAACATCAGGTTATTAAGTAGGAGGCTAGGGCTGGCCTTGCAATAGAAGAGGCTATAGGGTTGCCCACAAACATGTATGTTCCAGAGAGTGGTGGAAAGCCAGGGTTATCTGCATAGCAAGGTTGGCTTACTGTTTTGGTCAACACTTGCTAACATAATACAGGGCTTCTGCACATACTGGTTGCCCTTGTTGTAAAGGAAGACGCAAATCCTGTTGAAACTATTATCTCTGAAAACTCAGAGGCTATTATTTGCAAACCTAAACATCAATATAGAATCAGACTTTCTGAATCTAAAGACATCTTTTGGCACCTGTGTTCAGACAGAAGAAGGATCCTGTGTCTCCAAAATCCCACTTTTTTGTCTCCACTTCCACACTGCCAGTGACTATTAGTCAGACCTGGGCTCAAATCCACAGCTGGTACGCTGTCCCATTACGTAAATTATTGCCGTAAGACTGCTGAGTCAGGTCTATACCCAAGTAAAACTGGTAACTCCTCTCATGCAGCTTCCAGCTATTAAACACCTCCCTAAATGCATCTGAAATCTGTAAATATTGTGGTGAAAAGACTCTGGTGAGCCAGCCAACCTGAAACAAGAGCTGCCTCTTTAAAAATATTCACAAGGGCTTCACAAAGCAATCTAATAAAATTTGGATTTAGTGGAGTATTAATAAGAATATTTGGGACTTTTTTAGCAGCATCTTAGATGTAAAAATCAAAGTGCTCAAGCTACTGTATTGGGTTTAACATCGGTCTTGTAAGGAATGTTCTGTTATTCCCTGTTTGACAGAGGAAGAAACCTAAGCACAGACATATTTTAATAAGCATCTGGGGAAAGATTGTGCAGCAAAGTGGTGGCAAATTCAGGAGGAAAACTGGATTTCCTCTACCTGCCAACTCCACTGCTTTTGGAAGTAGGCAAATGCTTCATAAATCAGCTGTGGCGTTTTAGCTGTATGTCTAGGACCTCTGGACATTCGGCAGGCAAATCATTAGAAAAGGAGCTGTTACTGCATTCAGATATAACAAATTCTGGATGGTACCAACTGTACCTATTGGTGCAGGTTGACTCTACATCACATGTGCAGTGACTCTGATATGTCTGGGACATACATGACCTAGAGTATATGAACTGCAGGGTTTATTTGCACTATCCAAATTGTTTGCATCATACATTGTACACTCTGGACAGGCTGACTTTATTGTGTGCAGATCAACTCTGCATTGCCTACAATACAATCTTTCACTGACATCCAGTAAATTCAATATTTCATGGACATATTGGATTCCCTGTGTATACACTGGACAGACTATACATCTGTCTGAGAAATCTGAGAGAGATGGGAACTATTGCTTTTTAAATCTCAAAGGATGGTAGGTACGTTTTCTTGCCCTTTTCTCATGCCTTAAATATCACAAAAAAGACGCATTGCCCAGTGGGAAAAAAGAATGAGGATGATGATTTCAGCTATATAATCCAAGGCACGTGTGTAAAGTACTGCAAGCATTCCATCAGAAATGGTTATTTAAACTATTCATCCAAGTTGTTCTCTAGTAACAAAAAAAGGTCTAACCAGCAGTGTGCTTTTCTGGTAAGTGTTCCTAGGGTTACCGTACGGAGCGTAAATCTCTCTAGGATCCAGTTCTGCTGCTGTATTATGTATGGTACCTGACAGACTAGATGAGACCCCAGGTGCATCCAGTCCAGTAACCAAACCGTAACAGTGGCCAGAAGTGCCACCGGGGACAGGGGTGGAAAAGATGCAAGTCAAATGGGTTGGCCAAAGATGCGAGTCAAATGGGTTGGCCTGTGTGGACCACTACAGGCATCTCACAATGCTCCTCGAGACGGTGCGTCTCCTTACTGCCTAAGATAGGAGTAACTTAGACACTAATCAGAGCCTTACTTCAGAAGAAACTCAAGTTAGTTCCGTGCATCTACTTGGGCAATACACTGAAATTGTCAGGAAAGGTGCAAGCGCTGACAGTTAATAGACTTAAAACCAACTAAGTATCAGTTGATTTTTATATACTGTAGGTTATTTATTTAATATGGGCTAATAATATTAAAAATGTTACATTTTAGGAAAAAATAATTCTCTTTTTATCTGTTAGTAAAGAAGAGAATAAAGTTTAAGCAGTAAGGCTTTATAAGATGAGCCATCAAGAAAATTTTCTCTACTGGATGGGCATCAATATGCCAATCTGAGAAAAGATTTTGTGCATTTCCTAAGGAACATACCATAAGAAGAAACACTTAACTCACCTAGGATAACCGATGCCATTAAAATAGTAATATTAGGCTTCCTATGTTTTTATGAATTTTTATTTCTGTATTACTTTTTCCCAAGGTATAGTTCCCTTTATGCAAAGGATAAACTGTGATTCATGCATGGAAAGTCATCTAATTAATACAAGAAATACTTTGAACAAGATCACAGGAGTGGCAAAACCAGAACAGATTATTGGTCTATTACATCAGGCATTTGCTCCTGGGATGGCCTATATACTTGAGGGGGGAACCAAACCAAAAGCAATTTTACGCATATAGGAGGGAACTTTGCAGTATTACACAATGAAAAAACTATCTCAGCCCTGGCAACCAAGAGCAATCATGATGTTTTCTGCAGCACAAGGACAGAAACTTCTTAATTATTTTCATAGCACCCTGAAAAAACCAGCCTATTGTACATTTTGAATGTTTTTTAAGTTCTATAAAAATGCAGTTTCTGCTGGTGGTCAATACCAAAAATAGGTCACACAGGGTGCAAAGAAAAATATTTACGGTAGGAACTGGGATACTTGATCTGAAGCAGCCAGACTGAGCCAGCGTCGAATGAGTGAATTCTGCACCACGTTCATTAGAATAGAAGGTTATTTCAGTTCAAGAGCTTAAATTTGGGTACCTTGTTTTGTTTTTGCAAGCTATGAATCGGGAGCACTGTCATTTGCAGGTGTTTCAGCCATAGTTTTGTGATATTTGGTGCTTATCTTACAACCGCAGCTTCTTGATGTATTTGAATATTCAAGAACGTCACATTTTTAAAAGAACGTAAAAAGCCAACAAAAAAGAGCCAAACCAAACGAAGGACGCTTATGGCCCACATACGGAAAGCACGTTGTGACGCTTTTTAAGCGGGTCTCGTGGTTGCTTGGGGTCCAATACATGACTGCAGGGAGCCGA